TATGGGAGTTTCCGAAAATTGGGGGTAATTACCTTATTTTGGGGTCCTACTATTTAGGGTACTATATTAGGGTCCCCTATTTTCGGAAACTCCCATATCGTGCCTAAGCTGGCTCCGTCTATGTCTTAGGCTGTCAGGGGGCCCGAGACCGAACTCCCTAAACCCCCAAACTCCTACACCCTCAACCCTCTTGGGTTTAGGGCTTTTAGGGTTTAGGGTTTAGGGTTTAGGGCTTTTAGGGTTTAGGGTTTAGGGTTTAGGGCTTTTAGGGTTCGCTGTATTTAAGTGGAAGATGAGTAGTAGAGATGTCTGAGATTTGATGTGTAGAATGGGGGGTGGTAGTTGAAGTAGGTAGAGTAGTTGACGTAGTACTTTAGGGTTTATATAGGGTTTAGGATTTCAGCGCATTTCGGTATTTCTTGTCGTGAGAGCGACTCAGGTTGGCGTGCTTCGGAACCTTGAGGAGGCGAACGCCCTGGTCCCCTTCGCATCTCATTGCCTAGTGCCTGCCTTGGCATCTACAGTGGTTTAGGGTTTAAGGTTCAGGGTTTAGGGTTCAGGGGTTGGGGTTTAGGATTGAGGGTTCAGGTTCCACTCTACAAGGGAAAGGGAAGCTAAAGGTCATGAGCACTGGCAACTAGCAATCTGCACGCCCCACTGAAGTCATGACGCATTTCAGGAAATGAGCACAGCCACTGGGAGGAAGCCATAACCACATGTCATTAGATTCCGCGGTGACCCGAGTGGAACCGCCCTGAAGCAAGATTGACGTAAAGCGGGGCCAACAGGAATTATTTAGGTTCTGCGGTCATGGCTAGGTTTGGAACTTTGCGGACAGCTGAGAGTGGCATGTTGGAGTGCGCAGCTTTGCAGCTTAATGGTTCAGGTATAAGTGTGAGGCATAAGGGTTCGATTGCACCCGGATGCAGGAACTTCGCCATCAGTTCTGATGGTGGCTAGCACTGGGCAAACATGGGGTGACACTGAAAAGCTCTCCTTTGAACTCTTCTATTGCCAAACGGGTCCTCCGACACCTTGGCCAGCACCGGACATACTCTCTTTCCTCACTAGATGAGGAAGCTCACAGCCTTGTGCGCACGGCGCCGTTGCATGGGGCAGGTGCCTGGTGACCCGACGTTGCAGACTGCTCAAAATACCTTTGGTTACATGGTTGCAGTCGGTTTTGTTGTGACTTCCGCTTTTGAGTCGTAACGCGCGGCTACCACGTAGCAACCAGGAGCGGCTGTTGCCGGGGCAAGAACAAGATCCCGACTGGCTGCTCTCGCGCGAGGCCCCTTTTGGGCGGCGGGTGGCGCTTTTGAGCGTTTCTTTCGGCTTTAAGTACTATAGGGGCTTGAATAATTACCTAGAGTCCTGGAGCATCCTAGAGCACTTTGGGGGTTCCTTATGATAATTCTATAGTAAAATGGGCCCCAAAACGCTATTCTATTTATTGAGGCCCCTGTAGTAGGTGTTCAGCCGAGGATGAAGGACCTCCCCAATTTCCCAATGGCTCGGGGACCGGCAGAGCACCTGGTCCAGGATTGCCTTTCTGGCTTCTCCACCCGATGGACGAAAACCTCGGTATTTAATTTAAATTCGTAAATGATAAACCCTATAAGACGCGGACCGGGCAGGATACCACACCGCCAAAGGACTGCTAGTCGGAACATTAACTGTCACCGCGAAGACTGCTTTCCGGCTCGGCATTTAGGGATACAGGGGGTTCGTGATCCATGCAACAGTGACTCTCTGCCATTTATTACGCCGCCGGTATCCAACCCTGCATCCGTCCAGACCCCTGAACAGACTAATCCGCTGCGGAAAGAGCTCTCTGACCCTAAGCCCTCAACCCAAAGCCCTATACTCCCTAAGCCGTTAAAGGAAAACCTAAAGCGCTGAACCCTAAACCTGCAAGGAGGTCTACGACAACTTCCGGAGCGTTGTACGGGCACTGGGGTCCATTGCGATGGTGGACCGGAGGGTTAAAAAACATTAACCCGAAGGCCCCATCTACCAATTCAGGGTTCCTGTCAGTTCCTGTAAGGGTGCCATAAGAGTGTAGGGATATTCAGGCCATGTAAGGTATTTCTTCGTTGAAGCCAGCGTCTTCCAGCTCAGCGCTTTGATGGTTAGGTGTCGATTATAACCGTAAAATAGTAGTTAATTAATGTCGTGCAATACTAATCATTCCGGCTCCCATCCTTTTGCGTCTAGGGAACTCTAAAACCTAAACCCTGAACCGGAAAAGGAGCGATCAACAGCTAAGACACCTTAGCCTAAGCCCTAAATCCATCTGAGCCTTATGGTTTGGGATTGAGGCCGTGGGTTCACGGGGCTCAGGGAGGGCTCGCATGAAAAAAGGCTGGACTTCGGAATATAGGGGCTTAAATGATTACCTATACGATTTTGGGGGTTCCTTATTATAACTACAGTATAGTAGGCCCCAAAACCCTATTCCAGTTATTAAGGTACCTATAGTAGGCACCCCTGGAGGACGAAGACGAGGAGGTCGAAGACCAGAAGGAAACAGGCTCGCACCAGACTCGCAATCCGGGTTTTGGACTGCATGGTTTTAGAGTTTAGGATTCAGGGTTTTTGTAGTTTAGGGTTTAGGATTCAGAGCTTAGTAGTTTAGTGTTTGGGATGGATAGATGGGCAGAGCAGGCAGCTAGATAGACAGATAGAACGCGGATTTAGAGGTTAGAACTCCGGATGACGAAGTGTTTGTTTCAGCTCCTCGTTTTGCAAACGGATTTAGGGCTCAGGGTTTCGGGTATATTTAGCGTTCAGGGTTTAGGGGGCTTCAATTTGGGCTCGCGGCTTTGGGTCGGGGTTTAGGCCTTTGCTGCGAGGCTTCTTCCAACAGCCTGTCTCCGAGACGGAGTGGCTCGAGCCGGGCACTAAGTTGACCCACCCTTCCAGCAGGAAAGTAGGTTTTGGACCAGATCAACTGAACCTTAATCCCTAAGTGCGAGTGTATGTGATGTATGTGAAGCAGCTTTACAAAGCTGCCTAGGCCGCAGGGACGGTTGTCATTGTGCGGCTCCATGCACGCGCACTGCGTTGAGATGGTTATGAAGATAAGATACATACATCTCCTTGTCAAGATCTTATGACAGCATGACATCTTCCCTTTTAATTAAACCCCTGAATACCTCAACACTATATACCCTCCCTAGTTCCACGACGCACGTATTCGACCATTCCTTTCATCTGCACTTAACCAGCGGACTCACTCTCCCCCCGTCATGACCCAGACGATTCATCAGGGCTCCCGGCCTCCTGCAGTCTCTGAAGCCCCGGGGGCTAATACAGAAGCCTAAATAGTTACCAATACCCTGAGGGGTCCTTATGTTACGTATACTAGAATGTTTATCCAAGGCCTATTCTATAGTAATTAAGCAATAAATACCCTAAGTTGGATTGCCCTAATTCACAGCCCTAAATACGAGAGACAAACCCTCAAACCTCTAAATGTCCAAACCGTAACCTTCAGCTCCAAAAGCCCTGAACCCCAAGCCTAAAACCCCCTGCAACCCGAGACCTTCAACTTGAACCAGAAGCACCCGAAACCCCGAACTCTAATTTGGAATGTGATTGCAGTATAGAAGCCTTACCACCCAACACTAATAGTCCATGCGGTTCCTTGTCGTACGAAGTAGAGTACAATATGCTCCTTATCGTAATAAGTATATCATATACTCTATAAGGCCTAAAGGAGCCTTTCCGAACATGGTGGACCCTAATATAGTACCCTAACTAGTAGGATCCTTTTTGGGGCCCCACGATTAAGGTACCCCTACTTTTCGCAAGCTCTCGAATCATGAAGCCGACTCCGAATACGAAGTCCGAGAGCAATCGCGCGCAAGGAGGATACCTAGCAAGATCAACGACGAGAAGCTCGGAATGCTGAGGCTTAGGGTTTGGGGCTTCGGGTTTAGGGCTTAGCGCTTAGGGTTGAGACTTCTCGGATCTTTCCTTGGCCTTTCCGGGACGGTTTAGGCAGGGTCTGTGGAACATGGCTGTGTTGAGGGTTCAGGGTTTAAGTTTAAGTTCATCATTACTTGTCGTTATCGCATCAAGTTTCTCGGAAGATAATTGCTAACTTCCGTTTTTTCCCGACACCTTGGTTGCAAACCTACAGTCTCTTGACTCTTAGGGCCGTCAGTAAATAATGCAGCATGAGCCGCGGTCAGAGTTTAGGGTTTGGCCTCTAGGGATATGGGTGTTCCAGGGCTTGTGCGCTTAGTGCGCTTGGTTTCGGGTGAGGAGGAAGAGTCGATGATAAGAACAGACTTTGGTTTGGAAGTGTTGCCTTGCAACCAGTCTATAGATTAAAGGTCCCCGACAACTTTCTCTGATTTGATTGGTTCTTAGTTGAAGCAGGTGTGCAGGGGACCCGAGCCCCAAGTAAGCTGCTACAGCCTATCATCCTGCCTAGAGCTTAGACTTCAAAATTGAAGTGCCAGCACATGACATCGGTTTAGGGTTTAGGGATATGGAGTCAGTCCAAACCCCAAGCCCCCAAACTCTACATCGCATCAGATCTGAATCCACAACTCCCTGTCGACACGTGCTCGGTGCTGTTGGAACTCCTCCTCGGGGCGCCGGTTTAGGGTTTAGGGTTTAGGGTAGGGTTTAGGGCTTAGGCTTTAGTTTGGGTTTAGGGTTCAGTCAGGATGTTTGTGCCGAACGCGCAGCCGCATGCCGCAGCCATGAAATTCGGAGCTGGTAGTCAAGCTAAGCTCCATAATAGGTCCGCATGGCCACGCATTCGGCTGCATGTAGGGTTCAGGGCCTGCAAGCAACAGTTTCATATACCTGAAGCCTCATGCACTGTTTTCAGGGCAGAGTCAGAGCTAAATCCCTCCTCTCCGACATCTGCCGAAGTTGTCAGCTTCCAAATTTCCCCAAAACCCTAAGCCCGAAACCGTTTAAAACTCAGCTGAGAAGCCTTCGACGCACAGAGCACTCGTAGTTTCGATCGCCTCGGCGAGATGAACCGCAAAGAGACCCGAGCCTTCTCCTGCTTATTACTGTAGCCCGATTTAGGGTTTAGGTTTTAGGGTTTAGGGTTTAAGGGTATATGACTGTAGCCCTACGGGTCCAAAGGACCAGATAAGCAGGGGTTCTATATATAGGAATCTAGAAGGGGTTTCAAAACGGTTTTTAAGGTCTGAAAGGGTTTTGTAATTCGGTTCGCAGGTTGTTGTTCGGAACTCTCGGTATTCGGAACCCCTAGATCAGGTGAGCAACCGCGGGTCTGCGGCTTTTTCGGATTTGGGATTGTCTAGGCTTTCGGGGGTTTCAGGATTTGTAGGAAGCTCCGACGAAGCTTAAACCCCTGCTCTTCAGGCTTTCGGGCTGCAGTATTTTGGGCCGTAAAGTTGGATTGATTCTCATCCCCATTCCTTTAAAGCTGAAGCATAAGGGGTTCTGGCACTAATCAGCTCCTAAGCCCTAAACCCTAAACCCTAAACAAATTTTCCAACTTTCTGGGGTTCACTAGAAGCCTGAATCTCGAGCTATTGTGCATGTTTGCTCTGAGACTTTCGAATTTCCGTTTATCCAAACCATTCTCTAGGGTTGAAGTGTTTAGGTTTTCGAGGGATAAAAATAAGTGTATCTTTCTTTGCTTGGGCTTAGGGTTTTGGAAATCCGTAAGGTTGAGGTTGTAGTTCAGAGTTGTCTGTTGGCCTCTTCAGGATCTGGCTGATAACCCTAAACCCTCAACCTTACACATTAAACCTTCAACGATGAACCCAAAAAGCGAAACCCTAAACCTGAAACCTTTAACCCTAAGCCCAACAAAAGCGAAGCAGAATCTGTGGCTTTCCGACATTACAAGTTGATGTGGCACATATTCCTTAGGCTCTAGGCTCCACCGAAGAAACCATGGGCTTCGGGGCAACTCACGAACTCCGTACATTGAAACCCCCCTGCCCCACCCTCCGGATTAAATCCTAAACCTTTCAAGCCATTACACCCTAAACCCCTGTACCACCAGAGCCGAAACCACTTAAAGTATACCTCAAACCCTCAACTAAACCCCCAAAGCCCCTATGCCCGTAATCTCCGTACCTAAACCCTGAGCAACTAATCATCTAGCTCAGAGGAAGCCGCTCCCCTCACAAGGGCGCCGAGCAAGAGGCGCCGGGGCTAAAACCACCATATGATGTTGCTGGTGGATATCGGCTTAGGGTTTAGGGTTTAGTGGCTTAGGGTTTAGGGTTTAGGCATGGTGATGATGTTCAAGATGGTAGTGGTTGTGGTGATGATGATATACCTGATGTCTGGCAAAGTAACGGTACTAGTAGCAATGGGAAGTAGATTTGTTGATGATCGTGTTGGTGACCATCAACATGAAGATAGCTATGAGGAAGGAGGGTTGATCGCATGTCTGTGACCACGACCATCTTGACCGTAGCAACGAAGCCTGCGGTGATGATGGGAGCATCCCGGCTTTCAGTTCTGTTCGCAGATGTTGCAAGATTGTGGCCCATGCCGAACCACAGTGAACTACACAAAACGCGGCAGGCGTTTCAGGGTGAGAGGAGTTCTTGGTACTTCGGCTGATGATATAAATCCTGCATTACCCATAATAAAGAACCTATGGGAATTATGGTATATTCCTTATTATGGGTCATGCAGGATTTATATCATCAACAGTTTCAACCGATGTTGGAAGACATGGAGCATGCCCAGCACTTCTCAAGACAACTGTTTTTTGGAACTGGCTTCTAAGTAACCCTGCTTGCTAAGTCTCCTGAGCCTTTTTTGAGGATGGTTCGAAATAGTGCAACCCTCTAAGCCTTGAGCTCTAAATCCGGCATCGTACTCACTGAGTCTTAAGCCCATAAAACCCATAAACCTTGACCTGAACCATGAACCTTAAACCCCAGACCCTATACACCTTAAACCCTAATACCTTGCACCCCTACACCCGAAACATCTGCAAACCCTAAACAACCTAAACCCCAAATCCTAAACCTCTAAACCCTAAACCCTAAACCCTAACCCTAAACCTTAAACCCTAAAAACCCTAAACCCTAAAGCCCTAAACCCCTAAACCCTAAACCTGAACCCCATGATCCCGGACCCTAGCGCAGAAACCCTCGACCCTCGACCCGAAAGCCCCCTGAGCTTTGGGGACTCTAACCACTAAGCCCGAAACCCCCAATTATGCAGTGGAGAAAGAGGCTATTGCACTTAAAAAAGAACAGGCCCTAATGAAGAGAAGACTAGGTTCCTCAGTAGTACTCTTTTGGCCTTTCTGTGTTTGGGAACCAAACAGTAGGGAGAAGGAAAGCCTGAATATAAAGAGGACAATGCACAAAACATCGCAAAACCTTGTATGTGGAAAAACAGGGGCCCCACAGCGTCCCGTTCTGAATATGAAGGGGCTCCTCAGGAACCTGGAAGAGAAAACCCTCCCCGAGGCGACCTGTGGCTACTCGGCGCTACAGCTCTTCAAGAACCCTCACTTCCAGATTGGCTATGCCTTAGATGACTTGATGCCCGGCCTGTGAGGGTTCAGGGGTTAGGGCATCATAAAGTAAGAGCTTAAAATGATTGCCAATATCAGTCTTCATGGTTCTTTGTTATAACTATAGGTAAAGAAGCCCATTTAAGGCGGCTTATCGGGGCATCATAGGGGTGTATGACGTTTTGCCGTGTTTGATGGCTTTCAAAGCTTTATAGGGTTCAGGGTTGGGTTTTGCTGCATTTATTTTGGAGATTTTGCTGCCGGAAGCCAGAAGCCAGACCCTGCCGTAAGCCTTTTACGCGAAGGGTTTGCTTCCAAAAGAGACGGTGAAGAGAGAGTAGTATACGGGCCTCAACCAGTAGAATAGGGTTTAGAAAGATATTGAGGAACTTTAAGGAATGAATATCTTAAATATTAATTACCAGTTACTGGTTATTCAGTCGGCTTTACATTTGCCGCAATCCCTCGGGTTTCAGGTTCAGGGTTCTTTTTGCGATCTGTAAGGGTCTTACAAGGAAGCTATGGGGGTGTCGAGGTTTGGGGACCTTTGTCAGACTCTACATGCTACACCCCCACCCGAAAGCGTCAATAAATGCATTTTCCTCCTTGATCGGTAGATGGCTGGAGCCAGTTGTAGGACTAGAGATGCAAGTATCTTGGGTGGTCAGGGGCAGAACCTTCATGAAAGTTGGCACTGGTAATATTCTCACGCATACGAGCCCTAGACCGTTGCGAGTCTTGGGGTGTACTATTTTACACGTCAAATGTATCGTAGGGAACCCCAAACATATGCTGGTAATTATTTAGGGCTCCTGTGATCGTTAAGGACCCTAATGCCCCCTGTTTCGAGGATCATGGGACTTAATAAGTAAGGTTATAAGTACCTTTATTGGGGTTATAAGTAGTTTTAAGTATAGTTACCTTAATTATAGCCCTCTTTACTAAGTCCCATGATCCTTTAAGCTGTATTGAGGATCCTTATGCCCGGGCATATCAACTTTGGAGTCCACGACGTGGTGCTGGAGTCGCGGTTCACGCGCGGCCTGACACTCAAGACGCCGATCGTGCCGCTTGGACCCCCGATTTCAGGGGGTTTAGGCGAGGGATGGGATTTCTTGCCTTGCAAGTTTCGGGGTTACATAGTTAAACTAAGGATCTTGCTTAGGGTTTAGGGTTAAAGGTCTGCACTATAGGTTCCCTGCCTGCTGAAACTCCCAGACATGCAGAACGCGGCCACGCAGCTCGCGATGTCCCACATCAAATAGCCACCGCCACTTCAAGATTTGCGATGCGACTCTGCCCAGAGCTGTACCCCTGACCCTCCCCTCCCACCTACCGGAGTCTGAGCTGCGGAACCCAGCCCCAAGCCCTACAGCTTAGAGGACCTCTAGCTGTCCATCCTAGAATACAATACACTGTCGAAAGAAGTCTGACAGAATGAGTCCGAGTAGACCCAGTAGACGGGTTTAGGTCCGAGTTTAACCCTCTAAGCCTTAAATCTCTAAGTTTAGTACGGCATCCTCTTGGCTTTCCAGTTCAGTTATAAGTCCCCCTAGCATGGGTTATCACCATAGTTCTCCTACTTATCACCCCGCTTATAACTACCCATGCACATCGAAGCATAGGTCGAGTCCCATGGACACGGTGACCGAAGCACAGATGGCCATTGCCATGGCGCTAGAAGGCACCTCCCAAGGGGGCCGGGGGGGGGCGGAGGTTTAGGGGTTGGGGATTGAATAGCTGTCGTGTTCAGCTTGTATAGCAGTAGTAGTACTCATATTCGTAAGAATTACAAGAATAGGTATATTACACTAGCAATTAGCAATAAAGGAATGGTTGTAACAGTAATACTGACAATAATATTAGTGGTACTAGTGATGGTAGTCATATTCGGTACAACAATAACAATAGTGATAATAGCAATACTCAGAATCACAATAATGCTAAAGACTCTGCTGATCCTCACGGGCAGGTGGCATCGGAATCATCCACTCGAAGCTTCCGGTATCTTGGCATGAACGCCTTACGCTTGGGCCGTCGGCCTTGCAGAGGGCAATTTCCTTTGAGAGTGTCGGTCCAAAGTGTTTTAGGGAAATGTAGGAGCCATAAATACCAACACTCTTTCGGGGTTCCTTATTATAAGTGGAGTATAGAGGGCTCCAATGTCTTCTTCCAATTATTGAGGCTCCCACATAAGGGACTGAAAAGACCTTAGGAGCTCAAGCTGCGTTTTGCTTTGCCCGGCCCTTGAACATCCCAAAGCCCTAAATGCTGGCAGTTGTTGTTCAGACATGGTTATTCCCAGCAGCTGAGCAATATTCGCATATATGTGTGAGCATGATGGTGGACTTGCAGTGAGAAGAAGCCGTGTTTATGCTGAGGAACTGAAGGCATGAGTTTGAATCAAGGTGGAGGCGCAAGCAGAGCTCGTCCGCGCGGTGAAGCGCTTCGAGCAGGGCTTCATAAGCTGCTCGGCCGAGTGCGGGCTACGCAATTCCGGGCAAGCTTCCCTTGCGACCCCTGTTTTTGCATCTGGCGCCAATTGTTGATCTCTGGAATAGGAGCTCTAGCAGTCTAGCTTCGGGTAAGTATGCAATATCATATTATAGCGAAATCTTACTTATTGTATTCTGATTGAAGTGATTGCCTTGCCTGTCGAACCCAGAAGCTGTGCTGCTTGGAGCACGAATCGGCATGCTGTAGGTGTCCGAATAGCTCGTAATGATTAGCCCCTTAGAGTCGTTTTACGGTTGGTGTCATTATACTAGGAGAATCCCGCAACCCCACTCGTCTAACTATTGCAGGGCCCCTACAGTAGTCCCTTAGTCCTGCTCGTGCCTTCTCGGGACAAAGCACTGAGGCAAGCCTGCATGCATCTCTCCGAGCATGACGCACAAGGAGCTGATGGAGCTTCGAGAAACATGTGCCTTGCCTTGGGATCCAGGGTTTCGGGTTCAGGGTTCGTTGACATCTGAACTAGGTTCCTGAGTAGTACCCGTTTGCCCTTTTTGTTTAAGGGTACCCTTATTACAAAGGGCCTACTCAGGAACCTGCTGCAAGATGGGACGAACATAATAGCTTAAGAGTGGAAGCAATCCGCACATGGCAGACACCGAGGTGGCTTTTCCGGCTTCCCCGTGACGGAGGACTCGGGGCATCCACAGAGGGTCGCTCTGATGTGTCAAGACCCTCAAGCTTTAAAAACAATCCTTACAAGCCCTGCAATGCTGAACCCTGGACTCCCAAGTCCTAAAACCCTAGACTCCTAAGACCCTAAACCCTAGAATGTTAAAGCCGAAGCTCCTGAGACCCAGAGCTCCTAACACCCGCAACCCTGAAAGCCTAAACTCTTAAGACCCTGAACCCTCAAATCCTAGAGCTTGAACCCTAAAATCCTGAAACCTAAAATCCCAAATGCTATACCTTAACATCCTGAAAGCTAAACCCTGCAATCCTAAATCCGAACCCCTAACCTAAACCCTAAACCCTAGAATCCCAAACTCTCAAGACTAAGCCCAAAAGACCCTAAGAGAGGATGGAAAGCTGAAGTCCAAGCTCCTGGGTCTCGTCACCCGCCGCGACGCCGAGTTTGTGGACCACAGCTCCGTGGTGGTGTCGGCACCTCCGAAGCGAGAGATGTGTTTTGGGGTGCTTAAGGCTTTAGGATTTGTAGGGTCTGGGGTTGAGGGTCCAGAGTTTAGGCTTTAGGATTTGTGGTTTTGTGGAGTTTTGTTTGTTTTTGTGGCTGGGGGGCGGGGGTAAGTTTATGCAGATTCCAACTTGTGCATACAACTTTAGCTCATGCGCGGTGAGTCTATCAGGATTTGCAGTGCTGTTTCTGCTAGTGTTAAGGTTTATATTGTTTGTACTTTGTAAACTTACTGAAGAGTATACAGTCAGAAGCTCTCCCGATCTAAGAAGCCCCGCATGTGAAGGTCATCCTGGGAGATATCCCGAACAAGTTCCAGATATTGTAGAGGTCTGAGCTGAACAATTTTGGAACCAGTTTGTTTATGAGCCTTACGCTGCAAATGGTCTCAACATCTTTAGGTGCAAACAAGTATTGCAAGCTTAAAACTGCGAGGATATTTTGTCCAGCACATGCTTGCTAGGAACTGTGAGGTTGCGATGCACTAAGGAGTTCATGACTCCCGCAGAGAAGCTGCTGACTGCCAAGGAGGGTATCGGGTTGAAGCGCCCTGGCAAGCCAAAACCCAGAGCGTGCGAACGGGGTGTAGGGTGTAGGGCCTAAGGCGCCTAACGGGCAGCCAAAGGACATAATCGAGAAGATCACAGACATGAAAGCTAGAACGACCTCCAAGCACAAATCCTTCGACAGTCAGCTCGTGGACAGGCGCGTCTGCAGACGCAGACGCAGACGCAGACGCTGCAGACGCAGACGCAGACGCAGACACAGACACAGACACAGACACAGACACAGACACAGACGCAGACACAGACACAGACAGACACAGACACAGACACAGACACAGACACAGACACAGACCCAGACCCAGACCCAGACCCAGACCCAGACCCATGACGCAGACGCAGACGCAGACGCAGACGCAGACATACGCAGACGCAGACGCAGACGCAGACGCAGACCCAGACCCAGACACAGACACAGACACAGACACAGACACAGACACAGACACAGACACGGACAGACACAGACACAGACACACACGCACACAGAGACACAGACACGGACACACACGCACACAAACGCTTGCACACATACGTATACATACATACATACACGCATGCATATGTTTACGTTTAATGTGTATGTACCTGTCTACAGGTATAATATACATATAGCTAGGTATGTAATACATGTGTGTGTATACACGTATGTGTGTATGTATGTTTGTATGTATGTATGTATGTACGTAGGTATGTATGTATGCATGTATGTGTATGTATGTATGCATGCATGCATGTATGTATGTATGCATGCATGTATGTATGTATGTATGTATGTATGTATGTATGTATGTATGTATGTAATGTGTGTATGTAATATGTGTATGTAATGTATGTATGTATGCATGTACGTGCGTATGTATGCATGTATGTATGTATGTATGCATGCGCACATGCAAATACTACATACATGTACATATAGTGTGTGTACGCAGACACATGCATCTATATGTTTACAGATATGTCAGCAAACGGACAGCTAGACGGGTACATACACAGACAGAAGAAAATCTTGATAATGGTAAAAGGAAGGACAGACAGAAGCCGAATCGTGTGTATTGACATGTGGTTTGTTCATTTTGTTGAAACCAAGACTTTGCTGTCTGGTGTTGCTTATATCCGCGACTGCCTACTTAACATCTCTGGTCCGGAAAGAAGACGTCCATTCTCAACAGAGGGCTTAGACGTTGTAGATCCACGTGTTTTTGCAGGTCAATGTCTGGGTGCTAAACAAGAGCGCCTCTATACAGGGATATCGGATTCACCTGAGCTCGCATTTCTCATAACCTCGTAGGATAGACAGTAGAAGCCGCAATAGTTACTAAAAGTATTCCCTTACCGTCCCGTTAACCTTCTATATAAATGATGTACCCTGCATCCTCTTTTAAGTATTCAAGCCACTGCAGTGCAGAAAGCCCAGACAGGGAGATTGACTCTGCGGGCGTAAAGTAGATCTAGACCCTCAGCCTTGACCATGAGCACTCAGAACCAGCAACCACTTGGGCTTATAGGAGGGGGGGGGTGTAGGGTTTAAGAACCCTAAACTCAACGGAAACATCCGTAAGTCTTCAGTTTGTACAGCACGTCAGGGAAGCAAACGAAGTCCTCTGCTCGTCGAAGAAGGGGAAGCTCCCGATCCTGAATGGCAAAGGCCCGCTCAGGTCCCTACTACGGTTTTGGGGTTGGGGTTTAGGGTTCAGTATTTAAGTCTAGGGTTTCAGAGTTTGGGGCCCCATTTCTTGTTTTAGGGGTTGGGGTTTTTAGGGGTTTAGAGTTTATAGGGCCCTTTTTACTTGTGCTGGGTTCCCCTTTTAAAAGCCGAAATAGTGGGGAAAAGGGTGCGCTTATTAGGAAAAGGCTGTCCAGGAACCTAGAAGGCTATCAGACTCGGGATTCGGGGTTTGCGGGTTGGGGTTTAGGGGTTTAGAGTTTAATGTTTCGGGGTTTGGGGGTTTGGGTTTAGGTTACCTAAGTTTAGGGGTTAGGTTATTTTTTCAGTTTATTGGGGTTTGGGGTTCAAAGCAGGGGCCTTCAGAATTTGAATAGGGTCTTGGTGTCTGTTTGCAACGAAGTTAGGGAAACCTGAGGAGTAGTACCAACTTGTTCAGACTTACATATTATTTCTTACAGACAGGGTGTGTTCATAGCGGTTGAGAATCTAGGATGTAGGCATTGGGAAACTTGCTCTTTCCCTTGCATGGTTCCTACAGAGGTACCTATTCATAAACACCTAGACCCCCAAACATAGGGAAAATAATGGCCCAAACCCTATAAAAGGCTATTATTCTACAAACTTTTGGGCTCCAGGTACTTGTAAGGGCCCCAAAATTCCAACCCAGCTACTGGGGTTTGGGGTCCATGAGCTTCGAGCCAGCCTTGGTTGTAATCGCTGGATTTTCTGAAGCAGTTGCTACCCATAGGCCCCAAAGTAGCTCCTTTTTGGGATTACCTTATAGGAATCTATATACGAACCCCAAAAAGGAACTACCTTTGGGGCCTGTGGGTATAGACGTCCAACAAGCTTTCGAGCGAGGCTTATCCATTGTGCTTGGAGGGGTATCTCTGCTTAAACGCTATAAGCCCCAAAACCCCAAACCCCCAAACCGCTACACCCCCAAACCTAAAAGCCTCAAGCTTTGAACCCCAAGCCCTTAAACCACAAATTAAACCCTCAATCCCAAACCCCAAACCCCTATAGAAGCCCTAATCCCGAAACACCTGTCCTAAAGATCTGAATCCCTCAACCTTGCATATCCCAAAGCCTTCGTGCAGCCCTGGAATCGTATGAGGCTTGCGACTTGAAACTTGCACTGAAGCCTGAAACCCTTGTTGAGGTCAAAATGGGGGTTTAGGGTTGAGCTGGAACACTGTCGGGTTTCGCGACTTGCGCACGGAATCGAAGAAGCTGTTTTGTTGTCAGGGGAGCTGGTTGCCTTGCTCTCGCGCACGGATCTCCTCAAGAATCAGGACTTTCCGGATGCTACCAAGGACCCGCCTTCCGTGGCTTTGGATTTTTTGTTTCTGGTTGTGTGGAGGCTGAGAATCCTGTTGAGATTTTGGGTTTTGGGGTAGCGGAAGCCTTCTTCATCACAGGAACAGCTGCAGCTACACGCGCCCGTCTCCAAAAGATCGACGTCTGTTCTTCCCTCTGCATGGACCCTGACTACATGCAGATTCATCAGGTGTACAAGCACATGTCCGGCACGACCATGTGCACGCATGTGCGAACACACACACACACAAGCAAACACAGATATTATGTATGTATGTATGTATGTATGTATGTATGTATGTATGTATGTATGTATATAGGCACAGACGACTTATGCGCTGCAGATGCATGTGCAAAGGCTTCCAACAACCATATACATGTACATGAATTTGAAAGAAGAGGTGTGCAAAGTTTCTGTACTTGTACACATCTGGTAACGTCTTTGTAGTCATCTTTATTCGGACATGCATGGCATCCTCCTTTGGCATGTATGTAACCCAGAGTGTCCAGATACCATGCCATTATGGTATTGGGCCGGGCCCCCAAGCCCATAATATGTGGATCCCGGAGGTAACGACACGCCAGCATTCAAGCGTGTTGCTGCTGATTCTTTGCCGTCTCTACTCGATGCGTCATCACGCAGGACCCTAATCCCTGCCCTAAAACCTAAACTGTGAACCCTAATCCTGAAAATCTAAACCCTAGACCTTGAATACACGAAAACTTAAACCGTAGTAAATCCTAAACCCCGAACCCGAAAGCCTACAGCCTAAACCCCAGGATGAGAACAAGAGCCTTCGGGTGGCTGCAGCAGTGATGGCCGCTTTGGATAACCTCGATCAGGATACTTATGACCCCGGTTGCTACATAAAGGCTCCATAGTAGTTCCCTGTTGTGGATAATATTCAGAATCCTATAAGGTATTCCCAAAAGGGAACTACTATGGAGCCTATGGATACTGCATAGTTGTTAAACCCCTTGCTCCCGAACCCAATCTTGTGAAGCTCTCTATGCCAAGTTCCGAAGACCTCAACCCTAATCCTTCTAAGAACCTTGTGGACTCTTAGATCTGCCTATATACCCGGAAAGGAATCCCCATCGACACCCTTTCGACCTTCTCAAGGAGACTGGTTCTTATCCCTTACCCTAAACCCAGTTTGTTGTTTAAGCTTTTGCCTGGGATTTCGCTGGGCTCTCTGAGGGCTCCTGGCCTACTAATTATAGGGGCCTCAAATAATTAGAATAGGGTTTAGGGTTATATTGTTATACGATAATTGCAATAAGGAAATCCCAAAACCCTTTTCTAATCATGAAGGCCCCTACATTGAACTCCCAGAGCCTCAATTCTCCGAGGTTCTCGATGCGAAGCGGAAAGAGCGAGTGGATGCGCTTGTTGCCGCCGGGGCGGACGTGATCGCTTTTGACAACCGGCCAGGGGCCCCAGTTTTTGGGGTTCTGGCAGGGTTTAGGGTGGGGGGTTAGGGTTTAGGGTTGGGGCTTTTAGGGTTTAGGGTCGTGGGTTTAGGGTTCAGGGTTTAGGGTTGCGGGGGGGGGGGGGGGCTTTGGATTTAGGATTCCATTGGGGCATATGAGGGCTACTGTTGCTATTGTCAAGGTTGTTGCTCTTTCTGTGCACTTCTTGCTACGATGATGGTCAGTAGTAAACTGACTGGAGATCTTCCTCATATTCATGGCACATGTTGGCCTTCTCACAATCATGATCTCGGGCTGTTGTCGATAGAGGGTGGCTAGATCAGCTTCGAAACGAAGGGAGTTCAATAAGGTTCGCTGTGCAGTTCGTGCTTTCGATGTTCTGAGTTCCGAAAGAAACAGGTGGGACTTATAGTCCTATGCAATCATACGTTGATGATGTAAATCCTGCATTACCCATAATAAGGAATGTGCCTGAAAACCCATAGTTTGGGGCCTTCAATAGCCCTTATGGTACTGCAGGATTTATGCCATCAACCGTAGTGTTAATATAGAGTCCCCCCTGTTCCAATTATTCAAACCCTGTAGTATGCGCAGTGACGCGCTGCCTTCGGCGCATCTCGCAACACTGGAAGAATGTGAAGCTCACGCGGAGGGAGCTAAGCATCAAATGCATGACCCTCATTATATTAAGATCTAGAGCTTATCTATTCTGGGGTTATGGCGGACTTTACAAGAGATGCTACAAGCCTTAGTATAAGGGTTCACGCCCTGCCCGTTCTGCATGCATCTGAGGCAGGGCGACAACGAGGACCAGCTGGAGATCATTAGGCAGGTCCAACTTACACATTTTGGATCCGGCCATCGTGGTTTGTTTCGGTTTGAGGGTTTGGGGCCAAACCGTAAACCTTGAACCCTGAAGAACCTACCTTTTTAAGGACCTATATAAGGAAATCATAGTAGGGAAGCCTAAAACGGTAGGTTCTTCAGGGTTAAGGTAAACCCTAAACCCTTAACGTACCTCTATAGATCCCGTGGTCTACATAGACTCGAGCACCTGTCAATCAAAGGCCAGCTGACCGAGCGAGGCCCCCTAATGTAGGGGGCCTTGATAGTTACCTAGACGATTTTGGTGGTTCCTTATTATAACTATGTGGGGGGCCTTGATAATTACCTAGACTATTTGTTGGTGGTTTATTATGACGATATAGCATCATAAATGAAGGCCCCCATATTATGAGATTGTAGACGCAGGTACCTAAACAAAATATGTGCTCCGACCTGAAATTGCCTAAATCCAAAACCCTTGGCCCTAAACTCTAAACCCTACCTCCGGGCATGTCGGCTGGTGCAGGAAGCCTAGGGCGCGACCCGCAAACCCATCAGCTCTCAGACAGAGCTAGCCCTTCTCCTGAAAGCCTCATTGGTGTTCAGTGACATCCGCCTGTCCTCAGTTTAGGGCCGTTTTCAGCTCAGGGCCGAGGTTGAGGTAGAGTTTTGAGAGACTTGAGTGCGATAGGCTTGCAGCCGAATGATCGCTGGGTTCAGGGTTTAGGGTTTAAGCCGACAGCCGAACATTTTGTATTTCTGCGATGAATCCAGGTGGACCAAGCAGAAGTACCCGAAGATGCAGGTCATTGGAGGGAACGTCGCTGCTAGTCTCAAGTTGGGCAGCCAAAGGGTCCTAGGTGCTGTTTTGGGGGCCGAATTCAGAAACCCTACGTCCGTTCGACTATGTGGGTACGTTGGGCCCTTTGGGGCAGCAGCAAGACGATTGCTTGAGTGGGAGCAAACCGTACATCATTCCCCAACCTGTACCTCTCAGCACTTGAATGTCTATCTTGACGGCATACATGGTCAGGGACTTGTGGTGGAAAGCTGGCTAGGTACTCTGTGCTCTGGTTGCAGCACAAGCAGCCAGATTCTATGCTAGTCTAGAACAGTACTATATACCTGGTTGCTACCTGTAGTTGTCAAACGTTTCCGCCTGAGCCATGCGCAAGTAATTAACAAAGTAGCATTAACAGTGGGAGGAATCGCACCTGGCCCTAACCCTCTAAATGCCGAAGCCCACAGCCAAATAGGCCTGACCAATTGTAACACTGTGCCTTTTCGTCGTGTGTGTGTATATATATATACACAGTCATATTGAATGACCCCCGCCCCAATGTTCACTTCAATAGCAATGGAAAGATTGTCTCCTGGGTCGGTGTGCGGATCGACCGTGAGGTTACGCGACGACAAGCCAAAAACTTGTTGGCTGCCTGGCCTGTCTACAGGGGTCGGAAGAATTGACAAGACTATCCTCTTGTTGTCCCAATATAACTCTTTCACAATATGGGGCTCTGAGTGTTGTACATCCATCCTCTTATAGTTGTTGCATTTTAATACAGTCCCAAACCCCACCCGGTTATTTGCAGGCCACCATGATACGCAGTGGGACCCTTTCCGGGGTCCTTGTAAGTTTTGTTTAGGGGTTCATGGGGTGTTGAAGGTTTCGTGCTGTCTGATTAAAGGTCCCTCATTTCGCGTTTCTACAATTCGGGTCCATCTTTTTTGCTTCGGTTGAGGGTTTCTGGGGTGGAGGGCATTGGGGTTTCAGTGCGACTGCGAATAGGGTGTTCGCGGTTTCTTTCACTGCGGCGTGGACCTGTCGTCTGAAGAAGTGTCGTCAATGTGCAGTATCGTAACATCTCCAGCTTTCGCTTCTGAGCGGGACCGCAGTCAACTCCCTGTCAGTCCTGCGTCTCGATCTGCGTTTGTTGCCAACCCTAGACCCTAAACCTAGACCCTAAAACCTAGGCGATACAGCAGAAACTCTAAACCTCAGAAAAAAAAGCTTGAAACTGCGATGTCTAAGGCTCCGATGGATTTCGTTTGATACTCGACATTGAACCCGAAAGCCGGATCCTTAAACCCCCTTAAGGACTGCGGCGTAGACGCTCTGCGTGTGGGCATGGGGATCAGCTCGATCTCGACCGTTTCCTGGGCTTTATATGGGGTTTTGTAAGGTCTTCATAGGCTTACATTTGGCTTTGTAAGGGTTTCACAGGGTTGAGGGTGTCATTATGCTGCAGTTTAGGACTTGGGGTTTAGGGGTTCAGGGATCTAGGCTTTTAGGGTTTAGGGCTTATGGGTTGGGATAGTTAGTTACAGCATGGATCGATTTGGCGTTCTGGGATGTTTGGGGCTTAGCTTTTGGGGTTACCTGTCGGTTCGGGGTTTGGGAGTGACATGTTCAGGCTTGGAGTTTAGGTTACGGACAACTATATGCACACACATATACATATTTGTATATATATATATATATATGTATATATATAGATATATATATATATATATATATATATATAGCGTAATATACTGATTAGTGCACTTTGGTGTTCTGGTGCGCGGGTTAGGATCCTTGTCAGTAGGGGGTTTTACGCGGTTAGTCGTCGCCAAGACCTCTTCGTAGATGCAAGGTCGTGAGTTCATGGTTTCAGCATCACTCATATGGTTTCTCCGGGAAGGGCGGGTGATTTGACCGACTTCCGCACATCTGCTGCAAGGCTCACAAAGATCGCGGCTGCGGTCGGGCACAGGCCATTTGTCCTGCACTGCTGCTTATGACGGTGGGCTCTACCACAAAAACTCAGACGGAAGAACCGCCCACTGCATTCCACAACTGCCACGAACTGCCACGATGTTTAGAGGTTAGACCAAAGCGGATTTTCGGTTTCAGAATATCAGCTTGATTCCTGACCACAACTCCGTCGGTCCCCCGCAAATAAGATCGCAAGCTGGGTCAAGCCTAGCTTAACCAAGTCCACTTAGAAGGATGCCTAAGACAGATAAACTGGAAATGTCCACAGCCTTAAGATGAAATCGTTGCCCTTGCAGGCCAGCGCCGTGTACAACGTTGTGGCTTGGTTGACCCACTGCAAATGTTCGAGCCGGATAGGTCTTGGGGTTAGGGCTCAGGAAGCTCCAAGCAGATTTTCTGGTGGAGGTCCTTCACATGTTGAGTTGTGCAAATGTGACTCTGTGTTGTCAAGAGCCGGCTCACTGCGGTGTCGCATGCATAGTAAAGAAGAGTCACTTTCGCAAAATAGGGCCTCGGAGCATCCGTTCTCTGTTGCGCTGCGGACCAGCGGTGGTAAACTCGCAAGAGTATGCCTAGCCAACTGCCAGGCGGTAGTAAACTCACGAGAATACGCACAGGCACCTGCCAGTTAGTTGTAAAAAGCCTCGAGAACTATGGTTGGTCCTCGTGAGTTCGGCATCCCCCACCCTCTGCCATAAAGAAGCTAACACGTGTTAACAGCATCCCAGGCCCTGAACCCTGTTAGGCAAAGCCTTCAACCCTACTATAGGGTCCTAAATAATTACCGATATCATTCCTTAGGGTCCTGATTATCATTATTGAAAAACCCATCAGTCGAGCCCTGCTGTGCATATGAATCCTCGCCGCTCTCTTTTCGGGCTCAGGAGGGCCCTTGGAAGTCTTAGAGACAAAGCTGCGCAGGGGCGCAAAAGTGTGCGCTTCGTCGGGAACCGCCTTGCGGTTGTTCATGGTAGCGGAGCTGCGGCTCCAGGGAAAGTGACGTGCGGGTGGCTCTGCAGAGGGCTAAAGCGATGGCTGAGAAAAGCGATCCTTTCCGGGACCTTGTGTTTTCCGGAGCCCCTTCAGAATATCGACTGTTCAGGCGGAAGATATTGCTGAATGTGGCTTCTCTGGAGGAGAAGCATGTGAAGCTGGCAGGACCGAAGATCCTGACCCGTCTGACGGGTGAAGCTTGGAGAGCCACTGAGCACTTACAGATCTCCGAGTTAAGGGCGGAGGACGGATGGCTCCGAGTCTTGGAGGCACTTGACAACCACTACAAGTACCTCCCGGAGACCGAGCTGAACGAGTGCGTGGACGAGTTCCTCTTCCACCTCAAGAGGAGGCAAGGAGAGGGGCCAACTGCCTTTGTGTCTCGCTTCAAGGCGGTGCTGTCGAGACTGGAAGCGCTGATCGCGGCTGAGAAAGCTGGGCGGAAGCGCAAGCGTGGCTTGAAGCCAGCATCTGGTGACAGGCCAGCACCGGCCGATACAGGAGGCGAGAGTGAGAGCTCGGACATCAGCTCAGGAGGTCCTACGCTCACGAAGGAGACAGTGGAGGCTGCAGCGTCGGCTGGTGATCCCTCTGCAAAGCCTGCCGATACCAAGGGCCCGAAGACCGTCGGCAGTTTCGTCGGGGAAAAGTCCCCGAAGCGTGGGCCACCTTCGTCGGGTGGTTCCCACCGGAGCAGAGGGACGGCCAAGGCCGATGATGATAGAGCTCAGAGAAGGATGCTGGAACAGCTGGGAAGATTGGAGGTCGGCCACCTGAAGATGAAGCCGATCTTCCCGGAGGTGATCCTGGGGCATCTCTTCATGCGCAAGTATGGGCTCAGCCGGGAGCAACGCTCCCAAGTGATCCGCAGCACTGGTGGTAGCTGCAAGTTCGGCGACATCGAGAAGGTGATCAGGGCGTCGGACTACGAAGACCGACATGGCGATGGTGGTCCCAAGGGTTCTGCTCACCGCTCCGGCCGGGCCGGAGGGGCGGTCCTCGCTGCTGAAGAAGACAGCAGCCTCAGCGAGCCTTCCGCCTCAGAACCCGGAGAGGCCCTGGAGGCTGCCGAGATGACCGGCAGCGACGAGGACGAAGAGCTCGAGGAGGCCTATGAGGTGCACAAGAAGGCGAAGAACGATGCGAAGAAGGCCTTCCGGAACTATAAGGACAGCCGTCGTCGAGTGCGAGAAATACGGAAGGAACGGCAGCCCTACATGCCAGTGGTTGCTCTACCTCCGGGAGCGGCCGCGCCAGCCGAATCCCTTCCAGTGCAACCAACCTTCAAGTACGACCGGAAGGACGGCCGGAAGCCCGGCCGAGGAAAAGGCGACCGGAAGGGGCGCCGCGAGGAGGTGAGTATGGTCCAGTCGGCCATCGTCTCCGAGTTTGCCTACATGGTCGAGGACGAGGGCAATGAGATGGAGATCCTGCTGGCGAGCGTGCCGGCAGGGATGGCGGTGATCGACACGGGCTGTACGACCTCAGTGATCGGCCAGGACACGGCCGCCGCCTACGAGAAGCTCTGGCAGGAAAAGGGGCTGCCACCTCCAGCTCGCCTCACCCTGCCGCCTGTTCAGCTGAAAGGCTTCAACGGTGTGCGCTCGCAGACAGAAACGGGCTTACGCTGGACAGTGTGCTTGGGGAAGCTATGGGGCCAAATAACTACGTATGTGGTTCCGGGGCCGGCACCTTTTCTCCTCTCGCGCAAGGTGCTGCAAGGGATGGAAGCGACCCTGGACCTGGGACGCTCGACCATCAGCAGCAACAAGCACGGCATGATTGGAGTGCCGCTGGCCCAAGCCTCGAATGGTCACCTCCTGATTCCCCTTGTGCCGGAGGGTGCTTCTGAAGCCGCCTTTGAAGTCCTGCCGGATGAGCTAGAAGTGGAGGACCCTGCTCCAGAGCCGCCCTTGGCGTCCCAGCAAGGACCGTCACCGAACGAGGCGGGCGGCAATCACGTGAATACGGCTCATAACATGTCTGCCCAGGCCGACCGCCGGAAACACTTTCAGACCATCATGAAGCACACCAGGTACACACAAACAGACGTCGGCACCTACCGTTATCAGCTTCGCATGTTGTTTGGTCAGGATGTTGATTTTGCGCTCTGTGCCTACAGGCCCCGCTTTGAAAGAACCCCTAAGGCTGCTGCCACACAAGACTTGCATGTGTCCGTGGCACACCTGTCTCCTCAGGGTATCTTAGAGGTGTCTGAGTGGAAGCTGCGCCCGGCTTGTGCAAGGCGCGAGGCACATGATCGCCCTGGTGCCTGCATCTTTGGCTATCGCTACAAAGAGCCAGAACCACAGCCTGCGGTCAGAGAATGCAGAAATATCACAAGCACTGCCGAGAAACCCAGCGCGCGTAAACCTCAAGACCCTGTAGATGACAAGCCCGCTGTCGCTGCCCAAAGCACCAATCCTGCCGAGGCTGGATCTGCAGAACAATCCGAGACGGAAGTCTGTGAGTGCTGCAGCGAGCGCCCCTTGCCACAGCTTGCAACGCCTGAAGAAGGGTTAAGTAAGAGTCTTGAGGCCTTGTATGATGAAGTTGACTGGGTTACCCTAGGCCACCTGCCCATCCCTAGTTCAAGCCGAAGTAAGATAGCGAGACAGGTGGAAGCTGTGCGTCGTGTCCCTTTCCAGCTTGCCTTAGCCGCACTTGAAGAACAACCTCGAGAAGTAGAAAGCGAGCTAAAGGAATGGCTAGGGGATCAAGGTGATAAGCTCCAATCCAAAGTTGGTCTGATTGAGGTGTTCGCAGGTGCATCAGTCCTGGGAAAGCAATCCGAGCACCGCCGGGGCTTAGCGAGTATGAGATTGGGTCTGGACTTCGGACAAGACTTTAGCAAGGCTAGGGATCGGCGTTTGTTGCTCTTGCTTCTAGGAAGGTGTAGGGCCAAGGATGTCTGGTTTTCGTGGCCTCATGTCTGCTGGTCGGAATGGTCCTTAAAGAACTTTACTCAGGGAAGTTCGGAGTACAAAGGTGCAGTGCACAAGCGTCAGCAGCAGCGGGCGTACACCCGTCTTTTTGAAGAAGCCTGGGCCTTGCAGACCATGCTAGGGGGTCACATCCATGCCGAGAACCCTACAGGGTCCCACGCCTGGCACGAAATCTCCCTAGGACCCGCCTATGAAGTCGATTTCCATATGTGTGCTTTAGGCCTTGTTTGCCCTAAGACCAAATTGCCTGTTAAGCGCTCGACTAGGATTGTGACTAGCGACCCCCAAGTAGTTCAGGCGTTTGAAGGGTGCAAGTGTCCTGGGCATTCACAGCACGTGCGCTCTGGCCGGAGAAACCCGTCGAGCCTCGCCTCGTGCTACTCTCGTCAATTCTGTCGTGCTGTAGCAGCGTGCATGGGCCGCCGAGATGACACAGTGACCCCGACACATGATATTTTCCTTGAGACAGACGACGAGGCTGACTCAGAACGGGAGAGCGAACACGAGCCCGAGGCCCCGGAGGACGAGGCCCCAGCACCCAGACACAAATCTTATAAGGCAATGGTGCAGAAGCTTCATGTCAACACTGGGCACGCCTCAATCCCTCAGATGCTTCGTCTTGCACAGCGTGCTCGAACACCAGCTGGTGTCATCGAGGAAATTCGGAAGTTCCGCTGCCCTGTGTGTGAAGAGCTTCAAGTGCCACCATCCCATAAGGTTGTTGCCCTTAGGCACACCGAAACCCCGAACAACATAGTGGGTGTAGATGTGGTTCAGGTTGAGCTTAAGAAAGATGGTCCTAACGGGATAGGCGAGCAAAAGTTTCAAGTGTTGACCGTGGTTGACTATGCAACAGACTTTGCCCAGCAGATTGTCCTACCGACGGGACCCCGTTCTGTGGCCACTGCTTTTCACGCCTTGTGGTGTCGACCGTTCGGCCCACCCCGAGTGGTCTATGTCGACCCAGACCAGCGCTGGATGTCGGAGGATTTTCAAAAATACCTTCGATGCAACTCGATTACACTCCTTGATACGGCCACAGAGTCCCATTGGCAGTTAGGTCGCGTAGAGGTTGCACAAAAGATCCTTCGAATGATGGCCCAGCGCGTCTGGCGTACGTCCGACCGACCGCCAGAAGAGGTTATCGAAAGTTGCAGCGGTGTGCGGAATGAACAGCTGAAGCGTCATGGGTTCTCTAGTGCACAATGGTTCCTAGGTAGAGAGCCTAGGGTTCCAGGTAGCCTGTCGGATATCACTGAACAGCAGAACTTGGCTGTTCAGGACGCCGTCTTGTCTGAACAGGACTTTGCACAGAAGATGCAGGTTCGCCAGCAGGCTGCTGAGGCATTCATCCAAGCCCACGCGCACAACACGTGGTCCCGTGCAATCCGAGGGCGCAATCGCCCCATCCGTGGCCCGTATGTGGTAGGACAAAGCGTGTATGTTTTCCGGAAGCAAGGGAAGGGTCAATTCTCCACAAGGCACGGGGCCTGGCTTGGCCCTGGCAGAGTAGTTGGAACGGAGAGCTTCCGCGAGAACTCTCCGGTGCCCCGCGTGATCTGGGTTGCAGTCAATGGATTCATGTACAAGTGTTCTCCAGAGTGCCTGAGACCAGTTGTGGAAGACGAGATAGTGTTTCAACAACTAGCAAAGGAGTATCATGCCGGGCGCCTGCACGAAGAGCTCGAGCAGGTGACACCCTCGCGTCGAGGACCTGCGGGCCGCTTTTTCGATCTCACCCAAGATCCTCCTGGCGAGCTAGACTTTGAGACTCCCCCGGCTTCCGACCGGGAGGGCGAGGATCTGCCTTCCGAGCCTCGCAATGTCCGCCGTAGAATCACCCGAGATGATGAATATTGGCAAGCTAGAGCATCTGGTGAGACTCCTAGAAGCCCCGCGAGGGTTAGAGATAGGGAAGAAGCTTTAGATCCTGATGATAGTCCCCAACACAAGACAGCTCGCATGGAACCACTAGGAGAACTTGAGGAGTACTCTCCATCGTTGCCACCTGCGGAGCCTCCCGCTCCCTTGCCGGATGCCGAGATGGAAGCCCTGCCGCCTGTACCGGAAACACCGGGCGACCTTTCCGAGGCCGAAGTCCTCCCGGGTGAAGACAGCTTGTGTTGCGAGATTGCCTTAGATGTACTGCTGTCAGACCTAGAGGCTGACTCGCCCGGCTTGTGGAAGGTGCTTGACGAGTGTGCTGTTTCTGCCTCTGCCCGGCCCGGCCAGAAGCGCCGAGTGGAGGTGAACTTCCGGAAGCTAGGTGCCGCAGACCGCGAGCGCTTCAAGGGTGCAATGCGTAAGGAGTGGCAAAGCTGGCTAGAGAACAGGGTGACTACGATAGTTAGATCGAAGGGTATCCCTAAGTCCCGGGTTATCGGCTCCCGCTGGGTCCTGACCTGGAAGAAGTCATCCGATCCTGATGATAGGTCCCTGACCCCTAAGGCCAGACTTGTTTTGGTAGGATTTCAGGACCCGGACTTAGGCCGCATTGCCACCGACAGCCCGACCCTCCGAAAGGAGAGCAAGCACATCATTCTGAGCATCTGCGCTAGTATGGGCTGGATCATTTGGGGTGCCGATATCAAGACCGCTTTCTTGTCTGGGGATAACTCTAATCGCGACCTCTATTTCCGGCCCCCGGCCGAAGTAAGGGAATTCCTAGGCTTGAGTGAGGATGATGTCTTGCGCCTGGAAAAGGCCGCGTACGGCCTAGCCGAAGCTCCCCGAGCCTGGTTTCTCCGACTCACCCGCGAGTTGCTGGCTGCAGGGCTGGAGGTATCTCAGTTAGACCCCTGTGTTTTCATCCTGAGAGACGTGCCCAGTAAGGCATTGCTTGGGGTGTGTGGTGTACACGTCGATGACTTACTAGGAGGAGGTACCAAGTTGATGGATGAGTGTCTAGCCCGTCTCCGAAAGAAGCTCCCCTTCGGCGAATTCAGAAAAACGACTATTAAGTACACCGGGGCTGAGATCAGACAACTGCCCGACTACAGCATAGAGGTAAGTCAGGAGGCCTACATAGATAAGATGGAGGAGGTAAGCACCAAACCCTTCGGGAAATCCTCCAATCCTCTGCCGAACCCCTCGCTGATGAGGGCATGCTGTGGTCAGCTGGCGTGGGTCGCTAATCATAGCCGGCCTGATCAAGCCTTTTTGGCATCGTACCTTCAAGGAACCCAGGACAAAGCACTGGTAGCACATCTTGAGCTGTACAACAAAGCTGTTCGCGAGCTTAAGGCCCGTAAAACCACCTTGAAATTTCCCCCGGTTCCTCTTGAAAGATGGCGGTTGTTGGCCGTCACCGATGCCGGCTGGGGTGTGCGGGCCAATGGCGAGTCCCAAGGTGGGCTCATCCTATGCCTCTGCGATCAAGATGTTCTAGAACGTAAGTCCGGTAAGACCTGGGTTGTAGAATGGTCCTCAAAGAAACTTCGCAGGGTCGTAAGGAGCTCAACCGCCGCAGAGACCCTGTCTGCCCAGAATGGCCTGGATGCGATCGAATTCGCTCAGTCCTTCTTGCAAGAGCTCCTATATGGCATGACACCCAAGGAGTTCCAGCAATGGGTTCCCGATAAGCCTTCTGGTTTAGTCATCGATAGTAAGTCCTTGTATGATGCCCTCACCCGATCAGCTTGCAGCAGTGCACTTGCAATGGAGAAGCGCCTTGCAATCGACTATGCAATTGCCCGAGCATGCTTGGCAGAGCGCAATGTGAAACCATACTGGACGAACAACCTGCAGATGATAGCTGATTGCTTGACTAAGCTCAAAGGCAATAAAGAGATCCTGCTGCGCATGCTTGATTCGTGCTCTTTCCACGTGCGACCAAGCAAGGAGTCAGGCCGCAAGGAAGCAGCGCGTACCGGGGCTGCAAGGCCCTCCAACACCGGCCACTAGTGGCGAGATTTGGCGTGGGCCACGCCGGGTTAGATCACCAGTCAGGGAGTTAGTGGGATTCCGGTGGTGGTAATCTCGTTCTACGTATGCCTGGTGTCCTGGAGTGATTTCTTTCAATGAAGCCTTCGCTATGTACAGATACAGCCACCGTGTGCCGCCGAGCACAAAACCGTGCCTTTTTCCGTTAATGTCGAACCATGTGCCTTCCAAAGCCATAGACTGAGATGTGAAGAGTGCCAGGTCTTTCCTGAGTGCGTCAATCTGTCCGTGTCATCCAAAGTACTGCTACTGCAGATTCTCCCTGTGATCAGCGCGATCCTATCTGTAGCTGCCTCTCCCCTTCTTGTTCCGGGTGCCATGACCGCAAGGAACCTCAAGCAGCAGCGCAGCCACCACCAGCCCCTTGCCAGGGACGAATTGGTTGGCCTCGTTACCCGGGCGCTGGCCAATGGTCAGGAGGAAGAGATCCTCTCGGAGTTGCGGATGCAGCGCCCCGACAAGTTCCGTCGTGACAGGGAGCCGGACAGCCCGGCCAGCGTGCCAAGCATGAACTCCGACACCCCGAGCCTCAGGGAGTACCTCTTGCTCCACCCGAACGAGAAGGATGATGGTGTTCCGAAAGGACCACCGCCGCCGGTGCCAGTCAACCAGCAGCCACGCGAGAAGGCTAAGGGCAATGATGGAGGAGGTTCCAAGCGAGGAGGGCGGGGACAAGCCTACCCGAGTTCGGGGAGTGCCGGTCCGGCACCCCCTTCCGCCTCTTCTTCTACATGGCCGTCAGCCACTTCTGACACGGAGTCCGCGATCAGCAGCAGCTGGATGAGGTCCCCGGTGGAGAACCCCGATGACCGCTACATCCTCCCGGCGCAATCGGCGACCCCGCTTCCGCGGGGAATTCCGTCACTGCTGAAGTGGTCCCGGACGCTGCTGGTCCTCCCGAAGTACAAGGAGAAGCGTTGGTGCTATTTCGACCTGCTCCAGCACGCTTGGCAGGATAAAGAGGTGATGTCGTATCTGAAGTGGATCAAGAACACCTACTACACGGACGCCCAGAAGCCCGTGGGTGGAAAAGCTTCGGACCTCGCCGCCTTCCTCTTGGCCACAGCGTTTCCCATCGAGAGCCGGTACCAGGAGATTTGTAATGCTGAGCGGATCTTTGTAGACTGATGACACAGCAGTCCAAGCACTCTTAGAGGACAGGGTGCTACTTTTTGTGAGGATGTCACACAGCAATCTTTAATCTCTCACGTTTGATCATGACGGTTCTGTGCTGCAAGAGCATAGAGCCTAGAAAAGCAAGCTGCTCAGATTGAGGGCGTGAAAAACCCATCAGTCGAGCCCTGCTGTGCATATGAATCCTCGCCGCTCTCTTTTCGGGCTCAGGAGGGCCCTTGGAAGTCTTAGAGACAAAGCTGCGCAGGGGCGCAAAAGTGTGCGCTTCGTCGGGAACCGCCTTGCGGTTGTTCAATTATAGTATAATGGGCCCCAAAACCTTATTCTAATTATTAAGGCCCCTAAACTAAAAATCCCTAGAATAGCCCTCTAAACAGGGACCCTATTCCAATTAAGGCCCCTATATTGCAATCCTGAACTTCACAGGCCAGCATTGCCAGAGCTTACAACGTCCCTGTCATTGCCGATGGGGGGCTGCCCGGCTGCAGGGCTGCTGAGAGTCGTGACATGCCTGTGCGAATGATCCGACTACGTACCTTAAGCCCTCAACCCAAACCGTCTTACAAACAGGAAGCCGAACCACTGCATCGCAAATCAAAGAATGCTTGGCATTGGGACATAGGGTTGGAAATTGTCTGTGCGTGTGTGTGTGTATATATATCTATATATACATACACAAATACATATATGATCCCGGTTCTCGGTTCACCGACCCCCCCCCCCCCCCTCCAATGGTATCCCCCCCCCCCCTCACGCTCCCCAAGCCGAATCTGTGTGTGACTGTGCAAGCTTTTTCCAAACGAGGGCTCACACGCCAAGCAAACCCACGCAGGAAACCCAAACCACACCACACCACACCACAGGGGGAGTGGGGTAACCAGCCTAAGCAGACCCACTCCCGAACCACACCACACCACACCACAGGAAGGGGGAAGCAACCCACAACCACACCACACCACAGGGGGGGGGAGGAGGAACCATTGGGGGGGGGAGGGGGGGGGGGCCAGCCGAACCGGGATCATATATGCGGTGGCGACCCGGCGAGTTTGTTTTTTTGACAGACGCTGCCGGGGCATGCTGTTCAAGTGCTCGCTTCCTCAGAACACAGGATGCCAGTTTGGGTTTAGGGTTTGGGTATGGTATCCCGAAGCCCTACACGCTTGATTTGGGGACGCTTCCGGAGCCAAGCCCCGAACACGAACCCATTCCGTAAGCGCCCATATACCCAAAGAGTATATACTTCGGCCCTTGAGTACCCATGTATGGACTACACTTTAGTTAAGGCCAAAGTACAGATAGAAAATGAGTGCATGGACCCTTACGGGCTGAGACCCTTCAAGCCCTCAAACCGCCATCCACAAATCGCATTGCCATAGAGATATCAGGATGCTCATTGAAGGGACCCCTATCAAGAACATATTCTTAACACAGGAAGCCCTACAAACTTTTGCGACCTGGGAGTCTGCAGTCCGCTTGTGGTTGTAGGATCGGCAAGCCCCGTCCCTGTGCATTTTAGCGCATAGGGACTTGCAGGGTCCAAAAAACTTGTGGTGGAGGTGGGTAATACAGGAGCCTGAGTGGTCAGTAGGATCATCTCTTACAAGGGTTCCCATGTACTTACCCCAAGCTCTAAACCCTAAACCTTCTAAACCCTAAAACCCATAAAAGCCTTCTTTTGAAGCTCGTGAGGATCAGCAGCCCGGGTCACATCGTCAAAGCGCTATCGCTGGGCCGCTTGGATGCGCATGCTTTTGGGATTTAGGTTTAGGGTTTAGGGGTTTAGGGCTGGTTAAGGGTGAAGGGTGAAGGGTGCAGGGTTGACGGTTTAGGGAGTTGATGGCTGCAACAGTACCTGCAGAGCAAGACTTTGCAACCAGGCGCTACATGTTCCCCCTGCCATGAAGAAGGATGGTAGTGCACAACCCTTTTGTATATAGGGACCCTGGTCTAGAGAACTTCGCAGAACCATCGTGCATAGGAAGAAATGAAAGTTCATCATATTATGGGAGTTTCCGAAAATAGGGGACCCCGATATAGTACCCTACAAAGTACGATCCTTTATGTAAGGACCCCAAAATAAGGTACCCCAAATTTTAGGAAACTCCGATATGTAAAGATCTGGAATAGTTAAGGTTAAGGTCTTGGGTTTTGGCACAGCAGTAGCAGCCTTGAGTTTCTAAGCAGGCTACGCGATGAGCGTTTCACTGCATCGTAGAGTTGGCCTGGCATGTTTTTTTCCTGTAATGGGTTTTTTTCCGAAAATTAGGGCTACCTTATTCCTTAAAATTCCCTATAGTGAGAAGCCTACTATTTAGGGGCAACTCCCAACAAGAGCCAGAATCCTTCACTCCTGAACCCTAAACCTTAGGCCCCATGGTAGTTCCTTTTGGGGTGCATATTTCGAATCCTAGAAAGTTCCTTTTGGGGTGCATATTTCGAATCCTAGAAGGAAATCGCAAAGAGGAACTACTATGGGGCCTATGGGTAACCCTTAGGGCCCTCAGCTGAATTTGGCGTGGCCAGCCAAAACTCCAAAGCCGACAAAGAGAACCACGACTTTCCCCAGCCAAGTTACTCAAGCACAAGTCGCAAATCCCAAGCCCCATCCCCCTAAATCTTAAATCCCATGCCCTGCAGCTTCAAACCCCAAAGTCCTATTGTAGGGCCGTGGTTCCCTTGATTGTTTGGCTTCATTATGATGTATCCCCAAACCCAACTTCAATTATTAAGACCTCTGTCTTACACAGCAAATCTCGCACCCCGGAGCCAGGTGCACAGATTAGTATTCCTGTCCTTGGGTTCCTTAAAATAGCTGTGCAGTATAGTGTACCCCAAAAATTAATTCTAAGCTCGAAGACTTCAACATGACCCTTCAAAACCGGCACCCAGTTCTAGGTGCAGAGGTGGTGACGCCTAAACCCTAAACACTAAACCCCCAAACCCCTAAACCCCTAAACCCTAATCCCCGAATCCCCTAAACCCCAAACCCTGAACTAGGTGCAGAGACGGTGATGTGCGGGAGCCTCCTTGCCGGGACAGAGGAGGCACCAGGCGAGTACTTCTACGCCGACTCAGGAGCACGCCTGAAGGCCCAGGGTAGGATCCTTTAGGGTTTAGGGTTTAGGGTTTAGGGTTGAGGGTTTAGGGTTTAGGGTTTAGGGTATAGGGTTGAGGGTTTAGGGTCGATCAGGGTTTAGAATATAGGGTGTGGGGTTTAGGGTCGTTTAGGGTTTAGAGTCTCTGTAGGGTTTGGGGATTAGGTCTCAAACAGGTTGAGGGTTTATTTAAGGTTTAGGGCTTGGGGTCTAGAGTTTAGGAGCCCAGATGTCGCAGCCACTTGCAGCAATCTCAACCCGAGCACTAGTTCCATTCGCTTCCAGTTCAGCGATTTCAAGCACTTTTAACTCTCTTTTTCAAGTCCTTTTCATCTTTCCCTCATGGTACTTGTTTGCTATCGGTCTCGAGCCTGTATTTAGCTTTAGATGAAATTTACCACCCAATTTCATACAGGGGCCACCATGATTAGAAGGAACACTAGGAAAGAGTATTTATAACTATTCAGGCTTCTATATTAGGGTTTTCGTTGTTGGCTCAGGGGCTTGGTTTTAGGCTGGATTTTGGCTCATGCTGCTTCTAAGCTCTCACAAGGTTTTGGGATTAGAGTTTCGCTTGGGAGGAACCCCCAGCCGGAAATGAATCAACTTCATGCATAGCGGCCTTGAGCCCATCACTGCCATTTCTTAACAGCAACGTGTCTTGTGGACCAAATCGCATATAAGCTGCGATAAGGTTTGTATTAAAGTTTCTGCCATAAGCTCTTGAGTTTGTCCATCAGCACTGTGACAATACATCCTGTGGTGGCATCCTGCGTGCAGGCCTATCGCGGCATCGCTTCTTCGGGCGTGACGGGATCGGTGCAAGACAAAGGCTGCTTGGCAGAATGACCGTCACCGGGGTCACCGGACCAATAGAGTTTGTACTGCAATAGACCCCGAAACTCCATTCTACTTGATCAAACCGCTCTATACCAGTGCACGAACATGTATATAACCCACATAACTCCTCGTAAGACCTTATGCACGTTCATAAAAAGGCCTTAAGAGGAGGGTTGGGATATGTACCTCCGCCGGTGCTTCCTCTATTTAAGGTGCCATTACGAATAGGGATCTATAGCAAATAATATGGTTTCCTTATTATTATGAATGAAAATCTACACATGGCCGTTGAACTCCAACAGAGCTCAGCCTATTGGGCGTCATCCACATGTTCGGACAAATCTGCACCATGGATTCTCCAGGCAGGGCTTGCACAAGACTCACTCTAGGGCCACAGGCACAGAAGGTCTAGAGCCCCAAATCCTGAACCCTAAACGCTAAAAATCGTTAACAACGGTACGTCTAAAGCCTATTATATCTTAAGCACATAGTACCCACTTTGGGCCCTGTGCTTGGTGGAGCCCCACAGTCAGACAAGGCAGCCCTGAAAGCAAATGTCAGGTAACAAGAACCCAGACTTCTGAGGCTCTCTACACAAGTACATGCCCTACTTGGCGCAGGGAGTGAAGCATGGGATGCAGGAGCAGCCTGGGGTTCAGGGTTTAGGGTTTATTTGGGGTTAGGGGTTTAGGGTTTGGGGTTCAGGGTTTAGGGTTGAGGGTTTATTTAGGGTTAGGGGTTTAGGGTTTGGGGTTTAAGGTTTATGTAGGGTTTGGGGTTTAGGCTTAGGGTTGAGAGTTTCCGGGTTTAGGGTTTAGGCGTGTTTTGGGCTCTGCGGTGGTTGTATGGCCTGGTCTTAGTGATGGCTTGAGAGTCGTATGTTTTTCACCAACAGCCCTGTACAGATTCCAACGTCGGGTGTCCGACTGTGTTTGGTTTCATTCGCATATATTGAGTGTTGGCTTCATAGGGTTCACGGTCCAGACAAGCCTTGTCAACGGCCAAATCCACATTCCCAAGTTAATCCCTGAACAGGATTTGGGCGCAAAGTCTGTGCGG